CGGTCATGCTAGACTCCGGTGCATAGATAATCGTCACCATGCCTATACACTGTACTCCACATTTAGCAATTAGCAAATAATATCCTAATCATATTCCCTCAAGCCAAAGTTAGAACAGATACTTACCTCGAAAGCTCCAAACTCAACTCAAGACTCTAGTACAGCTTTACCCCTTGGTTCCACCACAAAACCGCTCGAATCTAGCCACAAATTACTTGAATACATTCACAAACACTATTCGAACTAACCCCAATGCATAAAAATAGTTTTTATAAGGTTTTATCCAAAAGGATCAAAAATGCCCCCGGGCCCACATGGTCGAAACTCGAGGTTCGGACCCAAACCTGGTTACTCATTCCCCCATGAATCCAAATGTGTGATTTGTTTTGAAATCGGACCTCAAATTGAGGTCCAACTCCCCAAATTTAAGAAAACCTAAGTTCTAACCAAAACCCCCAATTCCCATTTTTGAAAATCTTTGATTCAAATTGAAATCATGTTAAAAGATGTTAAGGAATAAAGAAATTAAGTTAGAAATTACTTACCAATCGTTTTGGAGAAGAAAAGTTGTTTGGAAAATCGCCTCTTAGGTTTTGGGTTTTTGAAAAGTGAAAAATGACTGAAAATCCCGACCTTATATACCTTACGGAAGGCTGGCGCAGACCGCACAAAAATGTGTCGCGGCCGCGCCGAGGAAGGGAAACAAACGACTCTCTGAACCTGCCCAGCGCGGACCGCACTGATTTGGTGTGCGGCCGTGCTGGTCGACTTGAAATCACTGGCCCTCTGACTAACTGGCGTGGACCGCGCAGAGATGCACCGCGACCGCGCACCTCTTAGCGCGGACCGCACGAAAATGACCGTGACCTGCAACCTGATACCTTTAAGTCTAAGGCCTCCCGAGGCCCACTCAAAACTCACCCGAGCCCTCGGGGCTCCAAACCAAGCATACATATAATCTCAAAAACATCCTATGGACTTTGTCGTGCGATCAAATCGCCCAAATAACATCATACTCAATGAATCATGCCTCAAAATCATCATTTCCATTTCAAGCTTCTCAAACTTCTAACTTTAGTTATTTAGGTCCGAAACACGTCAAACGACGTCCGATTTCGACCAAATTTTACAGGAAGCGCTTAACACATATTTAAGACCTGTACCGGGCGCCGGAATCAAAATACGGGCCTGATACCAATGTTTTCTAACTCGTTTCCTTATCAAATTCCATATCATTATCAGAAAAACAATTTCTTTCAAAAAATTCGTTTCTCGGGCTCGGGACCTCTGATTTCAATTCTGGAAATACGCCTGAGTCCCATATTTTTCCTATGGACCCTCCGAAACCGTCACATCACGGGCCCGGGTCCGTTTACCTAAAATATTGACCAAAGTCAACTTTAACAATGTTAATATCAAAATTCTTCAAAAGTTTTCACAGAATTCACGTATTTCTACATAAAAGCGTTCTGGCTACGCGTCCGGACTGCGCATGCAAATCGAGGCAAATAGAAGTGAGGTATTCAAGGCCTCGGAAGCATGGAAAAGGGAGAATTCCGGTGATGACCCTTTGGGTCGTCACAATCGAGATCACTGGAATTCAATGAAAGCAGAAATCAATGGATCCAGCGGATATGCCCAGCGGATGAAAAGCTCGTTAAAGCAATTAATCAAGGAAGATCAATGGTAACTTGACCTTATTCTTGGAAAGAATCAATCTAGGATTCCTTTCAAGGATCAACTCCCTTGGGTTTGCAATCTCTCAAGATTCTTTAAGGCCTCATGGAAAGTATATATACAGATGCTTCTGACGTAACAACACATACTTTGATGGAACCATCTACCCTCTTTTTGTTCTACTCCAAACAAGCATTGTAGTTTCTTTAGATCTTCTGTGTAACCAATGAGAGAAGAAAAAGAGATAAACACTGATGAGGCATTGTATCAAGAAAAGAAAAGAGACATAAAGACTAAGTTATTGGTGTAAAGCTACGTCGTTCACTCTGTACTCAAGAAACATCGATCACTGAAAGAAAACACCCTTGCAACCCAAGTGAACTTTATTTTCGAACTAGTATAAAAATTCTGGTGTCTTTATTTCTTGCATTTCGTTTCTACATTTATTATTATTATTCTGTTATTATTTCAGGTCGAATAATTAGTAAACTAGTCAACTACTTATAAAAGATATTAAAAATAAGCAATGCACCCCCTCTTGTACTTTCAATTGGTATCAGAGCTAGACTCACATGTTTTTGCTTAGCAACTTGTGAGAAAAAATCATGGAAAATCAAGTTATTGTTTGAGCACTCTTTCAAGAAGGAACATCGCAATTTAGACCACCGTATTTCAATGGACATCTCACTGGAAAGTGCGTACGGAAATATACGTAAAGTCCTATAACGTCAAGGTTTGGCGAGTTATCAAAATGGGGAACTGCCCACTACCAATAGCTGCTCAACCATCTTCTGATCCAGAAGATATAGATGAATACATAGATGAGCAAATGACAGTTGTCCAAGTTAATGCTAAAGCAAGAAACTTACTCTATAATGCTATAAGTGGAGAGAAATATTAGAAAATCTCTAGTTGTGATACAGCCAAAGAAATGTGGGATAAACTTGAAGTTACTTATGAACGAACTAGTAAAGTGAAAGAGCCCCACATAAACATGTTGGTTCATGACTACAAACTTTTTCAAATGAAAGAAGGAGAATCTATTGAAGAAATGTTTGCCAGGTTCAGCAAAATCATTAGCGATCTAAAAGCTTTTGGTAAACCATATTTAAGTGGTGATCAAGTTCGAAAAATTCTGAGAAGTCTACCTACCACTCGGTAGACAAAAGTAGTTGCACTTCAATCACAAGATCTGAAAAAACTGTCTTATGATGAACTTCGTAGAGACCTTATAGCATTCGAGAAAACTCACCTCAAGAAAACAAGCCAGGAAGAAAAGAAGAAAACAATTGTTTTCAAGGCTACAACTGAAGGGACAGACAATGATATTGATGATGACCCTGAAGCTCTTGAAGAAGAAATTGCCATGGTATCAAGGAACATGGATGGTCTAATGAGGAGATACAGAAACACAAGAAGAGGCAGGATACCACCCAAACGAACCATGCAATATCATGAACAAGACAAAAATGATTGTAAATACTATGAGTGTGGAAGATATGGGCATGTTCAAGCTAATTGACTAGATCTTAAAAGAAAGGTTTCCAGAGGATTTAAGAAAAAACAAATCATTTGGAAGCTGGAGTGATTAAGACAGTTCAGAACACGAAGAGATAGCAAATCTATGCTTCATGACAATCCTGGAAAAAGACACAAACAAGCTCTCGGGGTGCTAGACATATGAGGATACATCAGACGACGAATGCAAAGACAATAATGAAAAATGTTTCATGGCACGAGGTGAAACAAGCGAGGTAAGATCTTACGATTATGAAAGATGTATCAAAAGAAATTAATTTCTTTTTTCCAAAGTTACCCTTGGAGTTTGTTATATTTTCAAGAAATAAATTAAGATTAATATGGTTAATTTCATTGTTAATTAATGTTAAAAGGTGGATTCCTTAATATGCATAAAAACAGCCAAAAATCACTTAAAGTGGACAGGAGTGAGTAATACGTTAATTGCCTTCTTATAAGCTACCTACAATAAGCTTATGATTCGATTCCATTTGACTTGCACAAAAAAATATTTGTGTATTGCATTGTTTCGAGTAATGATTCAGATAGTTTTACATTTATTGACATAAAATATATTCAAGGTTTGTTCTCAAACATATCTAGCCAACTAACACTTTTGCTAGCTCTAGCTTCCTTTTCTTTTTGTTAAGGAATTTTTTTCCAATAAAAGAATGACTTTAATTATTAATTACATAGATGTAAAGGCTGAAACAAACCTTTTTATTATTTTCTCTTCAATTTCTTTTAATGTGATATTATTTATATCACTTCTATATTGAATCTTTGGTTAACGTCGTTCACTTACTACATTATCGTGCGTAAATGTAGTAATAAAAGAACCGTTTAAGACGAGACAAAATTAATTTAATATTTGATCAGCTCAGCCACCACAATTAATTTACACCTAAATTGGAAAGGAAGTAGTACAAGACTTCAACCTGTTGACTTTGCCATGGGTCGTTTTTGTACTAGAACTAAACTCTACTAGAGCTTCGGACACGGGTTCGATCGAATCTAGTAGCTTTGATCCATACACAGTATTTATCTATAAAAGTTCATTGAATATATACAAATTATTAATTTAAAACTCAATAATTTAGAAGAAATAGAATCTCGAACCCAGTAGCTTCAAATCCTAAGCTATGACTCGTGAATGACTCTCTACAACATACTTGAACCTGGTTTTAATATCAACTTATTACGGCCCAAAAATTTGGTAGAACATGATTGACACCCAACCTGAACTATCCATCGAACAAAGATAGTATGTTGTCATGGTATTGGACCCTGAGTTTTATTGATTCCTTCTTTTTGTTACCAGGGTTAACCCCCAAGCCATAATGTCTCAAAATGGATAGCATAGAGAAACCCTCATGCATGTCATGAAGACTATGACTATGTCTTAGGACCTCCCATTGTTGTAACATTTATGAGAAATCAGATATCAAGTCTAAACAAGGACAACATAACAAAAACTTCATTGTTGTAATGAGAACTATTATGTCTAAGGACCTTCTATTATTGTATCATTTACAGAAAATTGGGCTCCAGGTCATGATGCCTCCTGGGAGACATTGGAATTGACATTTTCTGGTTTCTGTCACTCAGCAAACAGTGAGTGTCCTCTCTTCTTAGCAGAAGCACCATGTACAGGCACTAAAACAACATCAAAGAGAAAGATGAATGACGCTTTGTCCCATCTCTTCATATTGATGTGCTAAGCTCAATTTCATCCGGATCAGGTCAGCTTGCTCCAACGGTTAAGACAGTTGAAATTTCGTTCATGCTGGCTTCTATCTCTCTTAAAAACAAAACAAAAAAAGAGAATTTTACAACATAAAGTTCCTATACTAAACTGGTGCATCTCTTCAGAAACCCACTCTTTAATTTGATAATAACATGCACGCTATAACATGTTTGAAGCATGAATCAATGGGAAGAGAATTATTTCTAATGAGTAGAAAATGATCTTTCTCGTGTCAATTGGGCAAATGTCTGATGAAAAGGTCTTAGCAACTAATAAGGGATCGCTGGAGAAGGTATGCCTTTGGGATTTTACTCTTCATCTAGATGTTCAAAGAGTTCTCTCCAATGAGACGCGGCTTCTTCTGGGGTTCGAAATGACCACAGGTGAGGCTTTGCTTTCTCACGTGTTTCCAAAATTTCCTGCTTCACAAGATCTAATGGTGAGTATGACAAACAAAACCAACAAAATAGTACAGGAAGCAATAGTTACTTTACGAGGATACGTAGGAAAAGCAAGCAGAGGTATAACTAAATTACCACATGACAAATTTTGTATCCACTTATTTTAGAAAAAAGCTTCTGCATCAACTAATCACATCTTCAGAAAAGCATCCAACCAAAAAGATAACTTTTGTAGCTCAGCAACACCATTTAGAAGCAAATACCATAGCATAACTGCCTCGGTCAAGAATATGGTTGGCGAATGAAATACCGATTCTTTTATCAATCAGATTCACAACTGTGGATGGGTTTGATTGTTATTACACAGATTTGCGGCGCAATGAGCGTAAATTGTTACTACTTAGATTTGAAGCACACTAAGTGTCCTGCACTATGTAGGATAACTGTTTAGCATGGATATCAAAATCAAAGGACAAGCCTACTACCTAGGAGCTGTAGTTAGATGCTTTTTTTTGTAGTAAACATATCAAAGACCTATATTTCTTTGATGACTTTGAAGACCTAGATCGATTTGGTTTTTGCCAAAATTCAAGCATGGCACTTGAGTAACTGACTTCCAGTATGGTTCTCAAAGACTAACCAGAAATTTTTTAATTCGTTATAACTGAGCCAAATGTCATGCAAGTCAAATTTCTTGATATCATGAAAACACCGACTGAAAAATCTTAAACCGAAATGAGAGATGGAATAAGGTTTAGGGAAAAGATGAGCTAAAACTTTAGCATCTGGGGCGAAAAGTGGAGGTAACGAGTCCACCAAAGGTAATCTATTATTGTATCTCCTTCAGTCATTTGCTAACATGATTGAGCTTCTAAGCCAGTCAACCAATTGCGATTCAACTTGCAAATAGAAGCAGATTTGTTGTACTGTAAATTGCACTTAATATTCTCAAGAGAGTGGAAAGTTCTAAGATAGCATGCTACAATAGTAAGTACTTTTGTTTAATCCCAAGGCAAGCACATAAAAAGTTGAACATGAGTATACCAAAAAGGCAGTTTAGTATAGCAGCAACAATGCATGCTGAAGCAAAGAATGTAAAACCAGAGTTGTGAAGCAAACGTCATATGAGAAAGAAAGAACTATAAGAAAAAGGGTGAATAAGTGAGGCATCACCTCTCGTTTGGCAAAACTAAATTAACCTTCCCATAGTTTGTGAAACATCTAAGACTTACCCTCTAGTTTAATGTCATTACTAAGATCTCCTTTACTGCCAATCTCCAGAATTCAAAAAATTAAATGCACATATAAGCATATTAGAATTGTTTTCAACTTTACCCTCCGACATGATTTTATTTCCCTAAAACAACAATAAAGTCAAAAAGGAAAGGTGCACATTAGAAAACCTCGTATCCTAGACCTTCCCCATTTGAAAAGTTTCTGCTTAGTATACCTCCTCTTCAGACATACAATTTTTCTAATCAACGAGTTGATAATTTGGAGAAGCCTCAGATTCAACAGCCAAAGCATCTAAACAAAGGAAGTTATATTCCTCATCCTATACTTACCTTTTTATCATCTCTATTTAATGCCTCCTGTTTTTTTTTTACTGGTTCAAAATCTCACATCATATATTACGAATTTTTTATGCTGATTTTATTTTTCAATCTACACTATTTCTCGAGGGGGAGGGGAGGAGACAGAGAGAGAAACTTGTTACGAGTCCCGATGCACACAGTTTGAATGAAAAGTTTAGAGAATTGAATCTTGTAGGTTAAACGTCTGCAGCATCACCACGTACATTTGTAGTGACAACTCATGAAGAAGAAAGTTTTCACCAGCTTACCGCATATGAATTCTCCACATGTTAGAATGCTCATCAATTTACAGCTTCAATGAATTTTCCCAAGTCAAAACGGAAGAGAGGAGAGGAGGCAGGGAGGAGTTACTGATCGTGGACTAAGTTAGCTTCAGTCAAATCCGCAAAGGGGAGGTAATCTTCTAGACACCAGATGTTATACGTGCGGAAAGAAGATGGAAGACACAGACCATCTATTCTGTGTTGCTAGATTGCTAGTCAATTGTGAAACCGATTTCTAAACCTTTAAAATTGACAATGCCAAAGACAGCCAATAGCATCTAGACAGGTAGGAACAGAGTGTCAGGGAGCAAATGAAACAAGGAAAGTTGAAGCATACACGACAGTATTTGCGCAAGTAATTTTTTGGGTTGTTTGGAAGGAGAGAACCAAGCAGTCCTTTGAACATAAAGCAGTTTCAAATACATACGCTTGTATCTGTTGGTTGTTTTGCTGTACAATGAACTATGTTCATAAAAGAATCTTTATTTGACTTTATCAATTCTCAACCTCAATAAGGAATTGGGCTTCCCCACTGTATATAGCTAGCACACACTTGTTGCTGTGATATAAAGAACAGTACTCCCTATTTTCCGCTTTATATAATACTATTACTATTAGGGGAATTAAACAACCTTTTTTTTTTACTACAACCTTTTGATACGCCCCTCAAATACTTTTAAAATATAAAAGTTGCAATATAGAGTACTTTTTAACTAGTTTCTAATTATCTAAATTTTATTTTAAAAACTATAGAAATTGATGTTTGAATTGAGACCTAAAATTAAAAGGTTTGACCCTTGTCTCCGAACCCTTTCATTCTTTTTGAAAATGTAATTCAGGAGAAACACCCCACCAGCCCGCCAGTCCTCCCTCTCGATCTCGATCTTTATACTATGTACATACCTGGCACCAACTTACTGCTGTTACATGAATAAAATGATATTTACTTATCAAGAAAAAGGTTCAAAATGTCATTCTAGAAATGACAGGTAACTCCAGAAGTAACAGCTTGAAATCAAAAAATATAGTCCCATAATTGATAGCTGTCAATGCCAGGGGTTATCTAATTGGTCAAGGATCAGAGAAAAACCTGTACTTCCTGAGATCAAATCATGCTATCATCTCTTCTCCTATTTTATCCCTCTTTAGCAAGGAGAAACGGACATCTGTGGTGGTTAGTGAAGATACAGCTTCTCATATGCTTGCTATCATACAGTAAGTATTACTGGACGATTCAAAACTCACCAACTATACATGCCACATGCCCTTTCAAAAAGGGTAACAGGCATAACTCAAGAAAAACATCAATGTGCCTTCTCCACATATTCGTTTCTTTCCATATCAATTTTATTTTGGTTTTGAGTTCTATCATAAATTCAGAATGTCAAGCAACAAGCAGATATTGCTTATTAGATCACTTTGATTGATGCCACAATAGAAAACATAGTTTCAGACAAGTGTTGTGCTACATTGTAGAAAACTTATGATGAATAAAATATTGAATAAAAATCAACATAATCAGGAGGAGGAGCCTTGCAACCTTGTAGCATATCATGTATGAATCTAGACTTCTAGACATCTGAGATTGGTACCACCCTTCTCAAAGATACCATTAATAACTATTCAGGTTATATTTCAGTTTGTAAACCTTATCTGATGATCGCTATGCTAGCTATATATCAATTCGGATACATCATGCTCTGAGTCAAGCCTCCTACTGGTCTAAAAGAATAGCTTAACAAGACTGGTGGAAAAGGGAAATAAAGAATCAATACACAAGCAGCAGATTAAAATTGAAACAAGTTAATTGAAAAATAAAAACGGACAAACTGAGGGGAAGCCACCCAAAATTCGGATTTTAGTTCAGCTGGAGACAATCATGGTACATCAAGAAAAAAACTGTTCCATAGCCACCAACCATAGCTTACGAGTAAGTGAACAATTATGTCCAAAATAACTCCAAATCTGTGACTTTAAGTAATCTTACAAGCAACACAAGGTTTATTATTAACATGTAAAATTTATATTAGCATATTTGAATGAGTCAGAAGAAAAAAAGAACATCGTGAAACAATCCAGACTATGATGCAAGAGAGCACTGTACCTCCACTTCAGAAAACCTTTTGGTTTTTAAAGTCAGACAATCAAAGAGAGCACTCCATTTCTGACTACAATTATCAAGGACACCAACTCTATAGTACTGCTGCATCTGATGGACTGGAGCTGCCATAAATAATTCTACATCAGCCTTAAGAAATTCTCAATGAAGAAATTGCACGTAAGTACAGAAGACAAACAGATCTCGTATCAATCCCAGTGATAACAACTTTGGTTTCGCTCCTTCTGGGCTATTGATAAATTCATCTAGATAGTACAACCAAAAAAAAATTTGTTAACAACAGCAACATAACAGAAGGTATGGTGGTGAACCTTCTACTCAGAATCTAGAGTTTAGAAGCTTCCAGGCATTTCCTTCCTTAATAAGGATGGAAGAAGAACAAAGAGAAAAGGGGTGGCGAGGGGTGAAAACTGAAAATAGTAGCAAACAATATCATAAGTGTCATCAGAATCACAGAGCAAGACTCGCATCACTTCAGATAAAGCGAGTTACCAGTAGTCTATGATACTGTTGTTCAATAGTTCACCTCAGTTGCAGTGGATTGGCTAATGCTACTAAAGGCAAGAATGAGCGCATGACTTGTGTTTTGAATCCCCGCTTAGCTAAACAGCAATCTAGATCCTTGAAGAACCTGAGCTTGCAAAGCTCTCTTCTGACAACCCCAAGAGCAATCTTTATTTTGCTAGTATCGCGCTACTAACTAATTTATATAAACAATTAACCAGCCTCCTCGGTCTACCATTTGTTTGATCATTCACTAAATACTTATTTAAGGCATTCAGGTGTTACAAACAGTAATCCTTTCAATGGAAAAGATAACTGAATTAAATTCTGTAATTGTTTGGTCATCTATCCAACCTCTTTCTCCTTTCGTCATCTAAAATAACAAAATGGTAAGATCCTATTAGTGGATATTGGCATCTCGAAACAATCTTAACGACTAATTGAATCCCGACATAAAAATTGATACCAAAGGGACAAAACTATTGTGATCCCTAACAATTAGGTTCTCCAAACTTCTTCCATTTGGTTACTATTATTAAGTCATGATTAAGAGGATTTTGATACCTTTAACAGAAACCCCTGCAACCTAACCTTATTTTAGCTATGAGATAAGAAAGGAATGATTTGATTAAGAATAGAAGCAATTAAATACTGTGAAAATATATAAATCAAGCAAAAGATTGATGCAAACAAAGATACAACTCAAGCCACATAAATAAAGATTAGAGCTTGTAAATTATTTTCTTTTTTTAAATGCGGGGAACAAAAGAATAAATCTAAGTGGATAGGAAACATACAGTAGCAGAACCAGAGGGCATCAAAGTAAGGGGCGCATGATAGTCGTCGTGGTTGCTTTTCTGAACTCATCTGAAAGGTTTGCTAAATTCGCCCGTAGAAACGTCGATGTTAAGAGAAGAAAAGATAATTATTTATTTACTTTTTTATTTTATATTTCTCGTAACTCTCAAAAACTTTTTAAAATTGAAGAGAAATTACTTTAAAAACTGAAAACGTTTGTGTTAGAGAAGGGAGGGGAATGAATTTGAGGGAAAGTGAAATAAAGATCTAAAAAGAGATCGACGGATTCCGGCAAGGACGGTGGATGCCGGTGTACGGACGGTGGTTTAAGCGGTAGCTCCGCCGTGAACGGGAGAATTAAGGCCGGAAAGAAAAAATAAGAAAGAGATAAGAGACTTGGGGGGAAGAAAGAGAGAGGATGTAGAATTTATATACAGGGAAAAAACCGAAATGGGCAACTGGTGTATAAATATATCCATTAATTAATAAATTGCCCTTGTCTAGTTAATTAATATCTATAATGCCATTCCGCTTTCAGGAGCGAAAGAGATATGGAGTTAATTCGAAATGACCATAATGTTTAGGTTTTTTGTCGCTATTTGGGAGTTGAGAATGGAAGTTGAAGGTCAGTTTCGGAATTTGAATTGACTATGGATTGTGGTAATTTGTAATATAAAGGGGAATTGAAGGGTACTTTTGTAAGTTTAATAGAATTTGGAACATCTAGTTATTGCCAGCGGTGCGAGCTCCGTGTCTTTAGCATTGCCCTTGGACGGTCAGGATCGGGGCTTTTGTTCTTTTATGGAAAAATAATTATTTGTTCCAAATTTTTCAAAAAGTTTTTCATTTATTAGAGGTCATGATGAAGATTTTAAACTTAAATACGCATAAATAATCATTCTTTTACGTATGGTTTCGTTAATTACACCCTTCATCGCATTTTATTTGAAAGCGTTTGATGATGTACGACGTTTAAAAAAAATGTCATAATATTTAGGTGACTGTATAACATGAGATGTATAAGAATATAAAGATATTATTTTTTTAAGACATATTAAAAGATGAAAGTGTGTCATATAAAATGGGACAACAAAAGTGGCATGTATGTTGTTTATGCTCATCTTAATTAATTTTTACTTTACTTCAGTAGATTACTGTAATTTGATGTATGTTTAACCAAAAATCTGAGTCTTTGGTCAAAGCTAAAAAGAAATTCGGGTTACTGATGGAGACGAAAATAAAATATTTTTGAGAATGATGGTAAAGCAGTAAATAGCTTTGTATTTCAGTAAGATCCCAATAGTATTTTGTATCCTTACAGATGGTGAGTTTTACTCCTTTTATAGTTAATTCTAGGAGAAGATGTAATGTCTTTGTCTTAATGAGACAATTATGAGCAATAAATGGCATTAAAAGAAACGTTACACAATCATTTCTTTTTAATTCAAATATTCTAACGTATTTGATATTTAATGCTGTATTTAGACTCTTTTACGTCATCAGATTCGTATCTTCAACTTCTTCCGATCTTCGGTCTTTAAATGACTTGGATAGGTACGAGACTCGTACTTATTTTAGTAACGGTCCACACCTATGTTGCTTTCTTTTTCCCTTATCTGTTGTCGCCCGTGCCTCTTGGCTTGTGTTTTGACCGTTTGACCAATCCACGTGCCATGTCACGTCACCTACAATGTAAATTCAATTTTTTCTCAATACAGATAGTCCCCCCCCCCCCACTTTCCATTTATTTATCAAGTAAATAATTGGAAAGTGGATCTTCATAAAAAGGGAATTTTTGCCGTAATTAATATTATGACAAATACTGACGCTTCAATTGTCCCTTCCATTTAATGTTTTACATACGTGTCACCTTCTGATTGGTTCTTCAATTCTACACCCTTTTTTCGAGACTTCTTCATTCACACTATTCACGAAATGATAGTTGCCTTTATTATAGGCTTTTCATCACTGCACTTCTAAGTTTGACGGTTGTCATTATAATCATTTTTAATCCTTTTTCGTTTACCTTCTTCTTCATAGATCTTCAACAAGCAATTTCTTACTTACTTGTATTTTCTCTCCCCTTTAGTACATCTTTCTTCAACAATGTCATCTCCAAACCCTAACCCTAGAAAAGTTCCCACTCTCGATCACTTCCCCAATGCCCCCACAAGACATAGGAGAGGCAGAGGGGGTAGGCTTCGGAGCTTGGGCCTAGGGTCCGCTCGTGATGGTTTATCTGGTCCTGCTTCTTCTTCTCCTAGTATCGGGAGTTCTATTCCGAAGACCCCTTCTTCTAAAGGTAAAGAAATCCTTGATTCTTCTCAAGAACCTTTAGTCGATGAAATTGTTCCCAGTGATTTGTCTTTTGGGAGTGATAGAACGTCTCTTCAAAAGCAAATTGTAAATTTAGAAAAAGCTGACACTTATCCTTCATTAGTAACCGAGCTTACAATTCCTACCATCAGAAGGGATTGTAACTGGAGCAATAGTCTTCGAATGTCAATTCCTTCCCCAAATCAAAGAATTTCTTCCTTTAGAAGTGGTTACTCTTTTGTTTATACTTACCCCTTTACTTTGGGTTTTAATCCTCCGGTTGACCCAGTCATTATTGACTTTTGCCGTTTCTTTAAAATCTGTTTGGCCCAAGTCGGTCTCCTAGTGTGGAGAGCAGTGGCTTGTCTGAGATACTTATCTGCCAAAGTCAATGTCAACTTTACCTTTTCTCACCTTGTTCATTTATATCATCCCAATTTAATGCGTCATAGGGTTTTTGCCTTAACTGCAAGAAGCAAAAAGGTTTTGGTAAACCCTGAAGATGACAAAGATCGTGGATGGTATACCCGTTACGTTGCTGTACGTACGGTGGATTTACTTGGTGAAACAAATATTCCCTTCCTTGAGAAGTGAAATTTTGCACGTAAGTTTCCTTTTATTTGCCGCACCTATTTTTGAGAATTCTGATTCTTTTTCTAACTTCGCCTCTTTTTGGTTTTTTGTAGCAACCATGGGGGATGTGGAACTTATTCATGACTTTCGTGGTTGGGTAGATTCAATTTTGAAGATTGCTCCTAAGGATCAAAGAACTTGGAAATCAATTTCTTCTTTACATGGCTGGAAGGTGAAAACACATGGTATGTCCCTTTTTGTCTTTTTACATGTTAAGCACCTTTTTATCAATGTTGATTATGCATCCTTCTTTTAATCAGGATTTGGTGTTAGAGGAATGGCAGCTGATGTAGCTATGGCCATTCGCATGTCTGCTAATGTTACTCTTGCTTTGAACAAGGCTCGAGCTTCGCTTCCCAAAAGGAAAGCTATAAGAGAAAGTTCTGAGAATGAGGAAGAGGAGGATACCTCTTTAATTGCCAGGCCAAGAGTTAGGAGACGAGTCATTAATAATGATGAAATTGAAGATACCCCTGCTCAAATCTCATCCGCCGAGCCTGTTTTGATCCATTCTGACGAGGACACCGTGCCAAGAGATACTAATGAATCAATTCTACGTCTTTTTGATAGTGGTTTTGAGAGTGGCGAGCTCGGCCCTGTTTTTGATGAAGCTCCTCTCTCCTCATTCGTTCCTATTTCCTCCATTCCTTTGCCAGTTTCAACTGCACCTGCTTCTGTTCCTGTGTTGGTTTCTTCATCTTCTCCTTCCATCCCTTCGTTGACTCCTATGACTCCTGCTGCTGTGTTTACCTTTTCTACTACTCCTCCTTCCATAGCTCCTCCTCCCTTCGTTCAGCATACAGAGGCGGGTTCTAGCAGTAGAACCATGGCTATGAGAAGTGTTACTCTTGAAGTTCCTACCAACCATAGCCTTTTGAGAAAGACTAGTAGAGCTGATGTTTGGCTCGAGCCTCTAATCGGTGATATTGAGAAGAAGAAGATGGAGAGCCACAGCTGCCTGACTCTGATGAATGACATAGTTCATTCTACTTTGAAGGTATTTTTCCCTTACCAACAAGTTTTTTGTTTCTAATCTACAAATCCTCATTTCTATGAGTTGTCTCTGTAGGCTAACCTCATTAGTACAGAATTGATGGAAAGAATTTCCCTTCTGGAAAGAAAAACCCGTGAGTCTAAAAAATCTATCCATGAAGCCGAGGAAATAGCCAGGGGAGCCCAGCTTGAAGCAACTAATTGGAAAGAACAGTTTGAGAATGCTCAGGGGACCATAGAGGAGTTGCAAGAAAGTAGAAACCTCCTGGAGCAGCAAAAGCGTGGTTTGACTTCTGAACTTGCAACTTCCAAGGCTTCTTCAAGACAATTTAAAAGAGATAAAGAGCTTTTGGAGTGCTCATTGTCAGAACAATTATCAAAGGCTAGTGAAGAAGTCAGGGAGCTTAAGGCACTTTTAGCCAAGAAAGAAGAGTATACATGAGAATTAGTGCAAAGCTTGACTCAAGCTCAAGCTGACTTATAGACCTCATCTGACGAGATTCGAGCTTTGAAGAGTTCTCATGCCTCCCTTGAAGCCTCCTTTGATTCCCATTTAGCTGAACACCAAATATTGAAGAACGATCTTGCTATGTGGGAAATAGAGTATGGACTTCTGGAAGAGAATTTCAAGATAGATGTAAGTTGGGCTTTCCTGAAATCTCGTCGTGATGCTTTGATGGAAGCTGCTCAGGAAAGCTTTGATTTGCAATCTGAATTAGCCAAAGTCTTAGACACTATCGAGAAAAGTCAACCTGTTGATACTCCTTCTCCTGCACTTGATGCTTCTGGAACGGAAGAGCTTTTAAATGAAGAAGTGGCTACTACGGTGATTGGAGTTGCAATTCCAGCTCCCGAGGGTGAAACTTCTATGACACAGTCCATGAAAGCTGAAGCTCCCGTGTCTCTTGCTTCCCTCGGTGATTTTCACACTCCAGGCCCAGTTGAAACCGCTCCTATTGCTACTCCCTCAGAAGTTGTTACCGTGCATATGACTGCCCCTGAAAATGAGATTGCAACTTCTGATGTTCCAACCCCTTCAGTGACTAGTTGAATGTATTTCAAACTTTACTGTTTTTTTTTAAATTGGTGGTGTTATCCCTTGGCAATTTTAAGGGATCTTTTGACGAAGTCCCCAGTTACCATAATGGGGCATTTGTAAAAAAGAAATATTTTGCTGACTAAGTTTGTACTTAGTCTTTTATATTAAGAGGTTTTATCGGTACTTCTGTATATTTTATTCTTGCCTATTTATCTAGGACTTATAGAATAACTTAGCATTTTTATCCATTTAAAATGCTTTATGATTCTTCTCATGGATTATCAACATGAGACTTTATAAAAGAGGTCCCTTTTATCTTATCGATACTTAATGAAGAAGACGTCTCAACTTCATAATGGTGTTATAATACGATGAAAGAAATAGGAATACACATGTTTTGTATGAAACAACTTTGGCAAGTTTTTATTCATGAACTTTAACAAG